TCTCTCTCTCTCTCTCTCTCTCTCTCTCTCTCTCTCTCTCTCTCTCCCTCCCTCAGTGGCTCAGTGGTTAAGCATCAATTTATGATCCAGGAGACCTCAGTTTGATTCTTGGACAGGGCACATGCCTGGGTTGTGGGCTCCATCCCCAGCTGGGGGAACGCAGGAGGCAGCCGATCCATGACTCTCATCATTGATGTTTCTATCTCTTTCTCTCCCTCTCCCTTCCTCTCTCTGAAGTCAATAAAGACATATTAAAAATATATCTATACTGACACTAATGTTCCATCTGGTGGAGAGAGCTCCCCCTAGTGTCCTAAGGAGCGTGTCCATCATGCAGGCTCTTCAGTCATGCCACGCTCTGCTGACTGCATACTGACTTCTCTACAGTGATGTCTTGTTTTTTAAAACTGGTACAGAGAATAATAATCTTTGTTTCATGAATTTTCATGAAGTCTTTCCTTTTGTTTGTTTTCTACCTATCCCACCTTAATTTCTTAATTCTAAACTGATGATAGATTGATTATACCAGAGTATTTGTCCTATGTTCTCTTCTCTTGGTTTCAAATTTCTCTAAATTTTAAACCACTTCCTCATCTCAACAGCTTTTACTAGAACAAAGGCCTCATACCTGGAAACCTCAGTTCTTTTGGATCTCCTATAAGAACTTGTTTACTTATATCTTACATCTTTAATCTTTGTTTTATTTCTATAGTGATTTTTTTCTCTATAGACTACACACATTTGAAAAGCAGTAAGCCAGTCTAATCAAGGCACCATTTAGAAATACAGATTTGAAGAGTCAGAATTCAAGGAAAAGGCCACAGGATGGACACCAGACCACAGCAATGAGATTGGAACAGAAGGAAGGAGAAAGTATTGCTCATCTGAAGACCATTGTTCAGGGTACTTGGGACTCCAGTCACAGGGAGGAAGCTCTGAAGGTTGGTACAGCCACTCAAGTAGGAACAGATGAGACTAAAATTACTGCAAGAAAAATGAGAGTTTAATGATATATATGTGTCAAAAGGGAAGAACAAAAGAATTCCAAAATTTTTCTTACAGGTCAGTGGTGCTAATTTCAGAAATTGAGTCTAGAGGGGAAACAGATTTTGGGGAATGAGGCATAGCTGAGATCACTTTTCTGCTTTGAGTCTGACCTGCCACAATCGTCCAGGTGATGGTGGTCTGTAGCCAGATCAGAACAGAGCTGGGAGGCAAGGCTGTGAGATATCGAGACAAGGGGAGCACAGAGATCAGCAACTGACTTAAAACTACTTGGGTTCAGACACAGAACAGGGCCTCACAGTGTCACTGGTAAGCTTTCCTTTAATTCTTACTTTTTATTTATTTTAACAAAATACACTTTCTTGTTTCTATTCAGAACTAGAATTGAGCGCACCTGGACAATTGCATGGAAGAAACAAATGCCAAATATTATTTGTCTCCATTTTTGTACAAGTATATTTTCTTCAAAATATGAAGGTGTCATTTCAGTAAATTCTCACCTGATATTTGCATGTCAGCCTTTTGGAGGATCATTGGTTACCTGGATTTAGATGGAACATAAATGGCACAGAAGGTGATTTTACAGATTTGCATTATTTCTGAATAACACATGTGGACGAAACCAACTGTAAAAATGTAGATAACCAATGCCCATGGGGTATCTNCAAAGCCACTGAAAAAATGTAGATAACCAATGCCCACGGGGTATCCTGGCACCTCCATGCCTGCTCTGTAATTTACTCAGACTCCGTCCTGGGAGAACAGGGCCTGGTGGGGTCCTCACACCTACAGTGGGTAAACCACCTGCACAAGGACCTCAGACACTTCCATTTAGTGTCCATGTTTCTAAACAAGGCCATCTGCATCGGATTTTCTGGTCACCCCAACACATGGCATTGTATCACACTTTGCCTTGATGACGTGGGGCAGGGAGGGAAGAGGGATCCCTTCTGAACATCCCTGTGTGAACATCCTCAGATGCTGCTCACATATTGGAATCTTTCAGGACTGACATCCAGTACCCTGAAGGTCTTCCTGTCTCTCAAATGTTGAAACATTCCTTTAACTCTGGGAAGGATCCTGTTCTCATCACTCTGCAGCCTTAACAGCTTTTGATAGAGGGGAAGAGGGGATGAACTGAATGACCAACAGGCCTAGGGCATGAGGATGGGCGGTGGCTTAGGAAGCTGTTTCCCTGCTCACTATCTGCGGAAGAGATGCTGCCTCCCACCTCCTCACCTGGACGGCTCAGGCATTCACACAGTTCTGCCCTGGGTCCGAGCTCCCTGGGCCCGCTGGATGAACACTCTGAGGCCAGTCACTTCATGTGACTCCAATCACCTGCACAGGTTACCTTGACGGAGTTTTCAAGAACTGTAACAGGAAATGTACTATTAGGCATGGAACTTAAAAAAATTCAAAAACTGTCCTTGATAGCAATATCTATTTAAAACGAAGACAAAACAATAAAAACGGAAATGCTTAACTCCTATTAATACTTTTCTATAAGCAGTTATTATTATAGGGTAGCAAAAAAATTCTGTAAGCTCTGTTTAAAGACTAGTTTATCTTTTTAAAGTGTGTTGTAAAATGTTCTCAGGGAATCTTTACAGAAATCTTCATGCAGGAGGGTCTGGCAGTCTAAACCTTGGCACATTTGAGTAAAGATATGAGAGATGTTAATTTTCAATACCTGGAGGAGAAGTTAAGGGCCTTCCCTTTGAAATGGAGAAAATTTTCATTTGAAAAAGAGGACAGTGACTGCCAGTGCACTTATGCTCATGAAGTTTTTTTCTTAAACATTCGATTTAAGGCAAATTGCATGAAAGTGGTGAGGAAGCCTATGGAGAAGAAAGGGACTTCTCCCTTCTGCAGAGAAGGTGCAGAGGGAACCAAGGGAGCAGGGAAATGGAGAGACCTCAAGTGCAGTATCAGGAGGTTAAGTCAATATACTTTCAGAGCTAAGAAATGAGAATATAAGAAAGACTGTGTTTCATTCTAGGTTAAAAATGCCAGAGCAATGTTGGGAAAGTCATCATTCACATCACAGGAAGATGAGAGAATCATCCAAAGACGACTTTCTTGGCACTGATTTTTAAGTACATTCATATTGTTTCTCCAACATGCCAGGCTGGCTCCGTCCCTGGGCGTCTGCACTACCTGTTCCTTCTGCCTGGAATGTTTTTCCTTTGACTCCCTCACTTTCTTCAAGTCTTGATCAAATGTCACCTTCTCAAAGAGGTCTTCCTGGACCACACCATTTAAAATTGCTATCCACCCTTCCTCTCTGCCCACATTCTATCCTGACCTTTCTGGTTTTCCTTATTCCCCTTTTAATGTTTTCCAAAGCACTGACCATATTCTGTTTCACCATATAAATTACTTATGTGGTTTCTTTATTTTCTGTCTCTCCTGGCTAGAACATAAGCTTGAGGAGGGCAGCTATCTGTGGTAGTTTTGTTCACTGACATACCCTAAGCATTCAGAACAGTGCATGGCACATAGTAGGTTCTTAAATTTTATTGAATGAATGACTGCAGATCAAAATTGAATTTATGCTTCTTTGAGCTAAGTTAATGAGCTACTTTACAGAGCCAAAGTTAAAAGTTATTTCTAGTACAACTCTAGAGCAACACTAAAATTACTCACAGGTAGCAACTATTGGGCATAGAAGTCACACATCAACCGAAGTTTTAGGGATAAAAATTTCACTAACAAAAAAACCTGAAGAATAAAAAAAGCCAGGTGTAGGGAAGTGTTTTGCATTTCCCCCCACACATTTTCTCTTATAACTGCTAAAGCATCAAGAGTCTTAGTTTTCACAGACATCATAGAAGTTTAGAGCTGGAATGGAATCTCAGAAATCATCTTAGCATGAGACTTCTAGCAACAATATGATGCAATCATTTTATAGCTGGGGAAACTGAGTACCAGAGTGGGAATGTAATATGCACAGTCAGGAAGTGGTGGGGGTAGAACTTTACTTGGGTCTTAAAATTTCAAGTCCAGAGTTTTTGTTTCTTTTTTTTGTTCACTTTTTCTTTTCAGCTAATTACCTGAATGTATTTTATTTTATACCGGTTCAAGTTAAACATCAGAACTCAAATGGTTAATAAATGACTGTAAAAGGGCCAGGGGAGGATTTTCCTATCTACTTAAGCGTTAGTGAGATGCAATTACTTAGAACCTACTAAGGACTTCTGGCTTCCACAGCCGGCCAGCTTCCTTGAAGAACTGGCACATGATTCTGTATGGATCATGGCAAGCTGAACATGTCTTTTTATTCTGAAGGCTCATGTAGGACCACTGCAGCAAACTGCCTTTTAGATGCCTTCCCCAGCATTTTTTCTTAATTATAATCCTAATCGTTGGGATTCCTAAATCATAAGGTAGACATTCTTGTCATTTTTCGTTAATCATTTAAATGGAAATAAGCCACAGTGCTATCTGGGACAAGGCCACCTCTTATATGCACTGCAAGAGTGGAAAGAGTGGAGATTTTGGACAGTAGATGGAAATGACTCTTCAGCCTTGTTAGAAGCAGCCTGCAGGAGACAGGGAAGGGGAACCAGGAAACCAGGGGCCTTTAGGGGAAGGCTGCAAAGCCCTGGCTATGGCTGGTAACCATTGCAGGCTGGCCATTCTAAGGGAGCAGCTTTCCCACTTAATGGGCACCATGAAGTAAAGTCCCTTATAAGACCAGCTGCATAGCTCTCACCTTTCCAGGAAGCTTTCTGTGGTTGAGACACAAAGGAAGACCCCAGAGGAGGACTCCAGATACTATAGGTTGGTGATTCTCTCCCATGGCTTCCTGGCAGGGTGGAGAAGCAGGGCCCACCCTATTTATGACCAATAATATATTCTTAAGGTTTCAATTATTTTTATACTAACACTTTAAAATGAGTAGATTGTAACTACTTCTTTTCTCTTTGCAGCCCATTATACATTCTTGAGTGGGAAAGAAGGTGGTAATACTGTAGCTAGGATAAAAAGTGGTAAAACACTGCTCTAAGGAAACTGATGATAATCTCAACTCTGTTTCCTAACTTCTCTCCTTCTATAGTGAAAGATTTAATTTCCTGCTTTGTTTAAATTCATTTTTCTATTTCTTTTTATCATGCCTGTATGTAATCTTTTTTGAATTTGAATGGCTTCCCACAGACAGAAATCTGAAACAGAAATGGTCCAGTAAGTGATACTCTTAACTTGGTCTGAAGACACNCAGTAAGTGATACCCTTACCTAGGTCTGAAGACCTTTTTTCTCATCTGGGTTGTGTAATTTAACTAATGGCTCTCAAATTTCTCCTCTTTAATATGGGGAAACAATAAAGAATTATTATAAGGAATCAATTCAACAAGAAAGGCTACATAAAATGGTATTATGCAAATGATATGTGTTCAACATACTTGGATCTGTGAAGGTTATAATTAGCTCTTCCATTGCCAACATCCAAAAAACAGCAAGATGGCAGTTTTGCAAAAATGCCCAGTTTCCTGATTTCATAGCATCTTTGATCATTCATTCAGCAATGGGTCCTTGTCCTTGCCCCAGTGAAATTGCACCCTGAGATGAATAATAACAACAGTGCTGCTTTGTAAGCAATGAAATTATTAAGATATTTAAATATAGCAGACTCTTGCTTAGAATAAGCTCATTCTGGCCTAGCTGGTTTGTCTCAGTGGCATGGCCCTCGGGTTGGAGGACATCAGGTTTGATTCTGTCAAGGGTCTTTGCTGCATTGCAGGCTCAATCCGAGAGGCAGCCAATTGATGTTTCTCTCTCTCTCCCTTCCACTCTCTCTGAAAAGAATAGAAAAAATATCAGTGGGCGAGACTAAATAAATAAATAAATAAATAAAATGCTCATTCTGATAGATGTACAAATGTTTTGTTCTTTGTATGTGTTTTTTTAAAACCACTTTTACTGTAACACATATAAAAATGTGCAAAGAAGAAATATACAGCTCTATGAATTATTGCAAATTAACATCTGTGGTTGAGAAGAAAACTTTGCTAACACCTTAGAGACATCTCTCCTATACCCCTTTCATTTCCAATCATTTCTCCCTTTTTCCCAAAGGCATGCACTATCCTGACTTCCAACCTTATAGGTCAGTTTTTAAAAGATTAAAAAAAGTTGAAGTCTACCATATATATAGGAAAAGTACACAAATCATTAATGCACAACTTCCTGAATTCTCCCAAGGTGAATACACACATGTACCACCACTGAGGACAAAATAAAGAACATCATCATCGTCCTCCCATCAGGATCCACCTTCCTTCTCNCTGAATTCTCCCAAGGTGAATACACACATGTACCACCACTGAGGACAAAATAAAGAACATCATCATCGTCCTCCCGTCAGGATCCACCTTCCTTCTCAAAGGCAATTTTGAATTCTAACACCATAGGTCAGTCTTGCCTGTTGTTGAATTTTATATAAGTGGAATTATATAGTTTACTTATTTTTATTTGGTCTATTTCAATCAACATTATTTTTTAGGTTTATTCACATTACTGTGTGTCACTGTGTTCATTCATTTTTATTGCTATAAACTGTGGTTAGACCACAATTTATGTATCTGTTCTGCTCTCGATGGCCATTTGGGTTGTTTATGGTCCTTGGCTATTATGTGCAATACTTCAACAAACATTCTTGCACATATCTTTGGGTACACATGTGCACTCCATTTTGTTGCATATATTCCTAGGAGTGGAACTGCTGGTTGGACAGAGTTTGTGTATGTTTGAATTTTTTATAATGTCAAACTGTTTTCCAAGGGGATGTCACCAATGCACATCTCTCCCAGCAGCAGATGAGAGTACTTGTCTCACCATTTCTTTGCTAACACCTGATAAATGTGTAGTGGTATCTCACTGAGGTTTTAATTGTTTCCCCCTTTCATAGGTTACTTATTGGCCATTTGGCTAATTCCCTTTTGTATCTCCTCTTGATTTCTTCCTTTTTTTCTATTGAATCACCTGTCTTTAAAAATTTTTTTTAATTTTATTTCTCAGAGTTCTTTATATTGGATATAAACCATTTGTTCTCCTTTTAGTGTCTCCATAGTTTTGCCTTTTTCCAGAATAACATATAGTTGGAATCATACAGTATGGAGCCTTTTCAGATTGGCTTCTTTATTTAGTAATATGCATTTAATATCCCCCCATGTCTTTTCATGGCTTGATAGGTTCTTTCTTTTTAATGCTGAGTAATATTCCACTGTATGGACATACCACTGTTTGTTTACTTATTCACCTACTGAAAGACATCTTGGTTGCCTCCAAGTTTTGGTGATTCTGTAAACATCCATGTGCAGGTTTTTCCCTGGATATAGTTTTCAACTCCTTGGGTTAATATCAAGCAGTGTGACTGCTAGATAGAATGGTAAGAGTATGTTTAATTTTGTAAGAAAACACTGAACTGTCTTTCAAAGTGGCTGTACCATTGTGCATTCCCATCAGCAATGAAGAGAGTTCCTGTTGCTAATATGCTTTAATATAGTCTGCTTATATTTTCACTAATCTGGAAGCAGAGACTAACTTCCCCACAGTGAGTACCTGAAAGTGAAACTTATAAGTAAGGAGAATGATATGCCCAGCTACACTAGCCTGCCTGCACCCTAAACACTCTGCAGAAGACTCTGGAGAAAGACCCAGCAACCGCAAGAGGGAAGCAAAGTAGCTGACAAGAAGAGGTGGTCCACAGAGAGCCTCAGATCAGCCAACTACCTAAGGACTCCAGAGCCAAACCTACACAGTTTCTGACACTGGCTGATACACAAGTGTCTCCCAGGAGAACTGAAATCAGCCCACAAAACAGTGACCCTCAGACAACATAAGCTGCCCAGATGAAACTCAGCTGACTGACTTTTTAAATTTTTTCTTAGGAAAAAGAGAGAAAAGAAAAAAATTTCCTCTTTAAATTAAAAAAAAACAAAACATTTTCAATTAATTAAAAAAATATATATTGTTTAGTTTTGTTTTGTTTTTTTGTTTTGTTTAGTTGCTTTGTTTTGTTTTGTCTTTTGTTCTGTTGATAGTCAGCTTAATTGCTGGGAAATGATCATTATAACCAATAAGTTTACTACTTTCCTCTATCGTTTCCCTATATCTCTTATTGGGCTCCCTTTGTGTCCTTGCTTTATCTCTCCTAGTCTTCTTGTTCTATTGGCATACCTTCTTTTTTCTTTTTCTCCCTTTTGTCTTCCTGTCCTTTGTTTGTTTCTGTTTGTCTCTTTATTATATATTTTTAAAAATTTATTTTCAACTATTTTCTATTCCTACACTCCACCCTTAATTTTTTGATTGCCCTTTTTTCAGAATCTTCTCTGCCCCCTTTATCTCCCAGTAGAGTCTCTATTTTTTACTTTTTATATTACTTCATTATTTTTAATTTTTTGTTACTATTAGCAATAATATACTTTTCTCTCTCTTTTTTTTGGGTTTTTTTTTTTTTTTTTGNCCAGTAGGGTCTCTATTTTTTACTTTTTATATTAGTTTATTATTTTTTATTTTTTATTACTATTACCAATAATATAATTTTCTCTATATATTTTTTGTTTTTTGGTTTGTTTGCTTTAGCATTTGTGATCTCACTTTGCTTTCCCAATTCTACTTCCACTTGGGATGTTTTCATTGTGATTGTCAGGATATTTTGCAAGATACTGCTTGTTTCCTGGCAGTTTGATTGGTTACTGTCTTGTTTTGCCAGCACCTGTACAACAGCTCACATAATGTGGTTGGGGCTGAGACACACAGTTAGCCAACCTGAGAGGAGAGTCCTTCCAAGAATGGACCAACAACACTCTAGACCCAATCACAACAGCAGAGACCAAAGAACTCACAAAAAGGATACTCACAAAAGAGACACATAGAGCAAAGAGCTCAGAATTATAAGAAAAACACCCTTCTGGGCTCCACTAAACATACAATACAAAATCCCACCCCACAAGACTGGGAGACAGCAAATATATCTAATATACAGATACAAACACTAAGAGCCACCAAAATGAGGAGACAAAGAAATAATCCCAAAACTAAAGAAAAAGTAAAATCACCAGAAAAAACCCTGATAATATGGAGTTAAGCAAGTTATCAGAAACAGAGTTCAGAGTAATGGTTATAAAGATGCTCAAGGAAATTAATGAGAACAACAAAACACTTACTGGAAAGGTCGAGGAACTTAGTGAAAACATGAAAAAAGAGCTAAATACAATAAATAAGAATCAGGCAGAAATGAAGAATATTAGATTTGATATCAAGAATATGCTGGAGGGTATTAAAAGCAGGCTAAATGAAGCAGAGAATAGAATAAGTGACTTAGAAGATAAGATAGAAAAAGCCACTCAATCAGAGCAGCAAAAATAAAAAACACTCAAAAAGCATAAGGACAGTCTAAGGGAGCTTTGGGACAACATGAAGCAAAAGAACATTCATATCATAGGAGTTACAGAAGAAGTGGAAAGAGAGAAAGGGTTAGAGAACATGGTAAAGAAAATAATGGCAGAAAATTTCCTACGTTGGGGAGGGAGAAAGGCACAGGTTCAGGTAGCACAGGGGTTCCAAACAAGAGGGACCCAAAGAGAACCACTCTAAGACACATCATAATTAAAAAGGCAAATGTCAAGGACAAAGAGAATATTAAGGGCTACAAGAGAGAGACAAGCAGTGACCTCCAAGGGAACCCCCATAAGGCTGACAGCAGATTTCTCAACAGAAACTCTTCAGGCAAGGAGGGAGTGGTAGGAAGTTCTCAAAGTAATGAAAAGCAAGAACATGCAACCAAGACTGCTTTATCCAGCAAGACTATCATTTAAAATTGAAGGTGAAATTGAGAGCTTCCTAGACAAAAGAAGGGTGAAGGAGTTCATTCAACCAGCACTGCAAGAAATGCTGAAAGGACTCCTTTAAGAAAAAGAAGAACTATTAAGAGAAAGGTATGCAAGAAGAAATATTGAGAGAAAAGCATGAAGCAGAAAAATGGAATTAAAAGTATATCAATATGATGTTAAATGTAAATGGAACAAAAGCTTTAATCAAAAAACATAAGGTAGCTGAATGGGTAAGAAAACAGGACCCAAATATATGCTGTCTACAAGAGACCTACCTGAGAGCAAAAGATTAACACAGGCTAAAAGTGAAGGGATGGAATAAAATAGTCCATGAAAATGGAAACAAACAAACAAAAAGATAGAGTAGCAATACTTATTTCTGACAAAATAGACTTCAAAATAAAGACCATGACAAGAGACAAAGATGGTCACTACATAATACTAAAGGGATCAATGTAACTGGAGGAAATAACCCTTATAAGTATATATGCACCCAATATAGGAGCACTTAAATATATAAAAAATTTCTTGGTGGACATTAAGGGGGAGATTGACAGCAACACAATCATAGTGGGGGACTTTAACATTCCACTGTCAGCACTGGACAGATCATTAAGACAAAAAATCAACAGGGAAATGCAGACCTTAAATGACATACTAGATCTAATTGATTTAATTGGCATTTACAGAACATTTCATCCCAGAGGAGCAGAAT